CAAAATAAAATTTGGTATGTGATGTATTATTTAATATACAACAGCACTTGTACGCATCTAGCCAAGTTATGATAAGTTCTCCCTATCACAATCGGTTCGGGGTCAAGAACCGAATAATTTCCATCTAGAAATATGAATGTGCTATATGATTTAATTATTCCAGCACAATGCACAAAGATGGATCCCCAAATAAGGCTAGGGATATGGGTTGGTGATCCCAACAATAGGGGGAGAAAATAGGCAGCTGAAAAAGTAATGCATGTGATGAATTATTATGAGTACATCTAGATCCTCGTACGAGAAAATGTGAACTTGAAGTTCAAGTGATAATTCATTTGCAAAATATTACCAGGCGTATATTTAGCTGCTAATGGTCCAAATAAAATAAAGTTTATAATAAATAGAGTCTATGGCATGCATGAAGCATAATGGACTAATCGGTTCCAAAGATAAAACTCCTCGAAGAAGGAGAGGAGCAAATGTTCAAGATGGTCATAATAAGGAGGCAAGTACTCTAGAAGAGCACCACGACATAGCACTTCATAAGACCTCATGGGAGAGGCTCGGGTACCTGAAAATAATAAGATAAAGGGATCTCAATAAGTTATATTTTTATTGGGTAATAGTAGAACCGATAAAAAAAAATGATCGTCGACGATATTGTTAATATAATGTAGCGCTCAATATTATTAATATTGACGAGGATCTTGAGCTCAAATCTATCATGAAATTTGGACAGATAAATGATTGGCCAAATAAAAAATACGCAATGAAAATTAATTTTACCTGAAAAATATAAAATTGGACGGATAGTCCCAACACCTGAAAGTATAAAGCCAGTGGAGGTATAAATGTGTTCTTGTGCAAAAATAAAAAAAAGGTCCAGTTGATAGACATAAAGACGACTTGTGTCACAAGAAGATTTGTAAATATCCTGGCATTGATTATATAGAGACATGTTCTCCTGTGGTGGATGTCGCCATTTCAGGTTTTAATCTGGCAATACAAGAAAAACGTGATATGCGTATAATGGAAATCATTGAAGGATTTAAATTGTTCTGAAGCATATTAAAGTTTCCAATAAATGTATTAAATAAAGCTTCAAAAATTCTTATACGGATTGAAACAATTAGGGCGCATGTGGTATAATCGCGTGAGTGAGTACCTGTTGAAAGAAGGGTATAAGAATGATTCAATTTGACCTTGTGGCTTTATAAAAAGATCTGAATCTAAATTTGTTATAATCACCGTGCATGTTGATGATTTAAATATCATTAGAACTCCTAGGGAGCTTCCTAAAGCAGTAGAGCTTCCTAAAGAAGTAGACTATTTAAAGAAAAAAATTGAAATGAAAGATCTTGGAAAGACAAAATTTTGTGTTGGTCTACAAATTGAGAATATGAAAAATGAAATTTTTGTCCATCAATCAATCAGTATACACTAAAATAATTTTAAAGCGATTCTATATGGATAAAGCACATCCACTCCGACCTCATGAAAATAATGAAGAGGTTCTTGGTCCCGAAGTACCATATCTTAGTGCAATTGGTGCACTAATGTATCTTTCTAACATTACAAGGTCTGACATAACTTTTTCAGGTAATGTCTTAACAAGATATAGCTCTGCTCCTACAAGGAGAGATTGGAATGGAATCAAACACATATTGCGGTATCTAAAAGGGACTACCGATATGAGATTATTTTATGGCAATGATTGCAGTCCCGATCTTGATGGTTATGACGATGCTGGGTATTTATATGACCCACACAAGGCTCGATCTCAAACAAGCTACGTGTTTACATATGGAGGCACTTCTATATCTTGGCGATCGACTAATCAATTAATCGTGGCTACTTCATCTAATTATGTTGAGATAATTGCTATTCATGAAGCAAGTCGAGAATGCGTATGGTTGAGGTATATAATACACCTTATTCGAGACAAATATGGTTTGAAGTGTGACAAACTACCTACAATTTTGTATGAAGACAATGCAATATGCATAGCCCAATTAAAGGGAGGATTCATAAAGGGGATAGGACAAAGCAAATTTCATCAAAGTTATTTTTCACACATGATCTTCAAAAGAATGGTGATATCAATGTGCAATAGATCTGTTCAAGTGATAATATGGCTAATCTGTTCACCAAATCTCTACCGACGTCAACCTTCAAGAAACTAGTATACAAGATTGGGATGCGAAGGCTCAAGGATGTGAATTGATGCTCTCATCAGGGGGAGTTAATACGCGTTGTACTCTTTTTCCCTTACAAAGTTTTGTCCCACTGAGTTTTCCTTGCAAGGTTTTTAACGAGGCAACCAAAAGGCGTATTTCTAAACATGTGTACTCTTTTTCCTTCACTAGAATTTTTTTTCCATAGGGTATTTTTCCTAATAAGGTTTTAACGAGGCACATTATCTATGAACATCCAAGGGGGAGTGTTATAAGAAAAATTAAATTATTGTGGATGTCTACTCTTCCTCCATGATCTTCTCAAATACTTAATGACATATTCAATGAGATATTTCTATGCTTAATGACATATTCAATGACATATTTTTCTTCACTTTTCATGCCTATATAAAGACCTTGTAATAGATAAGAAAATACACACAATTGAAGAAGAAAATCTCTTTCTTCTCTCTATCTCCATTTTTTGTTCATATTTTACTAAATTACTTTTATTTCATAACAACATTTTTTATTCATGTTTTACTAAATTGCTTTTATTTTATAACAACTGTTGAGTTTAAAGCCTTTATCCTAAATTTTAGATCGAAGAACCCCTACCTTTTTTTTTTTAAAAAAAAGGACGATAAGCTAAACAATTACCCCTGCCTTTTTCAGAAATTACTATTTAAGCCACTATATCACGCAGTCCGCATTGCGCAAGCTTTCAAACCTTTATAAACTCACGTCCCCTGCACACCCGCCAATTTCTTTCATTTCTCACAAAGCATTTCGAGAAACTGCAGCTCAATTCTCCAGATCTCTCTCTCTCTCCATCAATTCTTAGTTCTCTCTACAGAAATCAGGCAAGCAATGGTGAGCATAGCAGAGATATCATCTCGGAAAACGCTTTCTCAGTTCAACTATGCTTTGATTCATTTGTTAATTCTACACTGTCACTCTAATTTTCTATCAAATTTTACAGGTTGTGGCTCAGAAAGTGAAGGAATCAGAAATTACGGAGCAGGACTCACTCCTCCTAGTAAATTACCTCTTAACTTCGTCCTTTTGAAGTTTTTGTTCTCACCTGCTAATTAATTATGGTGGCGCGACTGTATATTTGAATTTTGAATCTGTTCCTAAAATATTTGGAAGAAACTCAGTTCTCTGTGACCTAATTTTACTTTGAGCTATATTATATTTAAACAGGTATTAATGAAGAGTAACTAGCTCAAGAGCAGTAGAACACGCAAGCATAAAGTCTAGAGTAGCTATTCAATTGCAACTGATCGGAATCATAGTTAGTTTGAGCGTTGATTACATCTTCAGCTTTGGTTATTTTAGATTGTTTTTAGATCTCTTTGTTAGCGAACTTCTGGTGCTAAAGTTCATTGAACCTGATCTAAATAACTTGTCAGATTTGAGAAGTTAACTTCATTTAGTATCAAAACTGTGTATTATACTCTGAAATTGTATCGACCTGCCTTAGTCTATGTTATTTATGCTATATTGACCATTTCCCGATATTTTGGTTAACGATTGCTAACTTCTCTAGCTTAAATATTCCGGTGAATGTCAACACTAACATTTTCCGGTTACGAACGCACAAACAGTTTACGTAGTACTGTGATCCTTTTACTACTAAACTAGTCTGGGTAAAATCCTAGAGAAGTCTAGGCTGTAAATTCAAAGTTAACAAGTTCTGCCATGAATTTTAACTTATGAGTTTATCAGCTGTTACAATTGTCATAATCTGTATTGTGTTTTCTCTCTGGTAAATTTGCCAGTTTGAATTGTCACTTGATCTATTGGTCAGTTAATCAAACTTTTTACATTCCTGATCCTTCATGGTTTTGAGTTGTCACTTTTTGTCAGCTGCCATTTACATACTCATCTATGCCTTCTTGGTTTTAAAAAACAGACAAGGAACCTGCTGCGCATTGCTTTATTCAACATTACTTACGTCAGAGGCCTTTTTCCTGAGAATTATTTTAGTGATAAATCTGTTCCAGCTTTAGGTAAGCTTTTTCCGCTAAACTTGTGATGTTAACAGTCTCTTTCAGCTCTCTGAGCTAATTCAGTGAATGCTTCTATCATAAACAGAGATGAAAATTAAGAAGCTCATGCCCATGGATGCTGAATCACGTCGACTGATTGATTGGATGGAAAAAGGCATGTGGTCTTTGGCTAGTCTGCCATACTTTGTGTTAAATTTTATATTCTGTCCTTTCAGTTCTTTACATTTCTTTGTTGCTTGTAGGTGTTTATGATGCATTGCAGAAGAAGTATCTTAAAACACTCTTGTTCTGTGTGTGCGAAACAATTGATGGACCAATGATCGAGGAATATGCATGTATGACAACAAAATAAGTTGGTTGCGTTTGGACTTTAATTATATCGTCATGTTATTGGACTGATTAATGATATCACAGGCTAAGTAGTTCAGCATCTCAGAACAGTGTGGCTTGAAATAATGAAAAAGCTAAATCATAACTGTTCTATGTTAGTTTTATATCATTTCTAAAACTATAATCTTGGAGCTTGAGGATAACTTATGCTTCTCGTCCTCTACTTGCAGTTTCTTTTTGTTACTCAAACTCTGACAGCCAAGAAGTGTCAATGAATATCAATCGCATTGGAACGAAGAAAGGAGGAACATTCAAGTGTAACTCAACCACTGAAATAACACCCAATCAGATGAGGTAGTTATATTGATATCATGAAATTCTTGTGTATTGTTTCACCTCATGCTAGTGATTTTGGATAGCTAGAACCAGTGAGTTAAGAAGTAGCATTGTTTCAGGAGTTCTGCTTGTAAAATGGTCCGTACATTGATTCAGCTGATGAGAACTTTGGATAAGATGCCAGAAGAGGTAAAGATTTATGGTATTCTTAAAGACAGGCTTCATTAGTCATTGATTATTCGTGTTTCATTTATTTTGAAAAATTTATCTTGTTTCTAAAATCAAATTTTCCTTTTTTTCAGCGAACTATACTGATGAAGCTCCTTTATTATGACGATGTTACTGTATGCCCTTCCCTCAACTTTTTGTCCTTTCCTAACTTCCTCTACACTTACCATTTTAGTCTCAAATGTCACTTGGCTTGTTAATTTATTGGTCAAATGAAGGTTGGTAACAGAATTGCTTGTTGTGCAGCCTGCTGATTATGAGCCTCCTTTCTTTAAAAGCTGCACTGAAGAGGAGGCTGTTAATCCATGGGCTAAAAGTCCTTTGAAAATGGAGGTTGGCGATGTCAACAGCAAGCACTTTGTATTAGCTCTGAAGGTATGGGGCAGTTATTGCAGGGAGAAGGATATAACTGTTTTCAGTTTAATGTTAAGTCAATTCAGATTATGTAGTTTTTGCACAGGTTAAGAGCGTGCTTGATCCCTGTGAGGATGAGAATGACGATGATCAAGATAATAGTGTGAGCTTGGGAGCTGATTCATTTCCGGGAGATGACAATGAATCTGATAGTGAGGTAGAACGTTATTTCTCTCCTCAATTGTATGTAAAGCTTGACTGCACTTACAACCCTCTTAAATTTGTTTGCCGGACTAAAATCTTTGAAATGATGATATATTTCAGTTCAGTCACTCTGATGATGACCAATACATAGTTGCGCCAATTGGTAATATATATGTCTATACTTGACGGATTTGTTTATACATTTCCTTACTTCAGTATTTCTGAATCACATTATGTTTAACTAAGAAATGATCTCTTCACAGAGAACCAAGATGCTCAGGATAATGGTAATATGGCCGATGAAGGTACTGTTAATGCTGCCAACTTCCTGCAGTCCTGCTGGACATAGTTCCAAGTACCTCTTATGTGCTATTTGATTTTTCAGATGATACTCAGGATCCAGCAGAAGATGAACAACAAATTGGTAGGTTAAAGGACTGGATCAACTCATACCACCTTGACAGAGTTGAAGTGACTGATGTTCTCTCTCATTTCCCAGACATCTCAGTGGTAAAAACTCGGGTGCTGGTGGTCATGTAAAGTGCCTATTTCTCCCATAATTGGTCAGTTTACCTAATATTCTGTTCTGGTTGCAGGTCTTGGTTGAAGGTAATGGAAGGACCTCTAATGAGGACGCGCTAAACCTATGCTTCGTAACGGAGACCCTTGATCAAATAATCTTTGTCCAGTTCCTGAAGTTTTGACCCAAAAAACCCATAAAGAAAAAGCTAAGATGAATAGAGCATCTTTTTCTATCAAATTTAAGTGGTTTTCCTGTTTATTTTTCTTTTCATTTTGATTTCAGAAATTGTTGAAAAGCTTGTTAAGGAAGGCATACTTTCAAGTGTCGGCACAGACTGTTACATCATTAACAAGAAAACGGTTTGTTAACTTTTCCTTGACTGGTTAATAGTTTATATATGTATTTCCTCCATTAATATATCCTTTCTGGTATACCATTATTTCAACTAATACTCAATTGTAGAAATTCAACTATGAGTTCGACATTGTGAAAGAAGAAATTGACGGCCAACAATACCCCAAAAGCAGCCAATTGCAGCATGGCAAGGATGAAGATTACATGTACATGAAGGTGAGACTTTTCATTTTTGCCATTGCCCTGATGATATCTAAGTGTGTGCGCTGTATCCTTCTCCAAATGTGTTTGAAGCTGCTTTTATCAGTACTTTCTCATCTATTCGCTGTGTATCTATCTATATATAGACACATGGATTTTGAAAGTCTTCACCTACATTTTGCCCCTTTTCTTTCTTCTTTCTGGAACTGGTCCATTCAAAAGTCATTTTTGTACAGAGTCCTGTCATTGAGTTTGCATTTTCCTCATTCCTACATGTTGTGCATCTACCTTATCAAAGTTAAATGCTGCTCTAGACATGCAATCCCCACCATAACCCAAATAGATGAATGTTTCTATTTCTTTTATAAATGGACACTTCCCAATATTATCATCAAATGAAAAAAATATAAGTGATTCAGGTAGTTATCAAATGTGAAATGAAGGTTATTGATGTTCTTAGACACTGCGTGTCCAGAAAGGTAGTCTTGATATAGAAAGTAGAAGTACTTTGGACTTCAATTTGATGAAGATCAAATGGCTCAATGTGGTTCACCTGATCATTTAACAAGTGAAATATAATTACTGATTAATGAAGGTCTGTACCACTTGAAATAGATATCCTGGAGCTAGTCTAGTTTTGTGTTCTGGGTGCTAGAGGATTTGAGAGGACACCATGGTAGGGGAAGGTAATGGTCCTGTTAGATGCGGATCCATGTTTTTATGTCAATGGATGCTGATTTAGTATAGATTTATATATTTTAAGAATTTTAAGTAAGTCATAAGATTTGGGATCTTAAACAAAACTTTGAGCAGCAGAGAGGAGATATATGAGATCCTGCCTGAAGGATTTGGAAAGATTAGATATCCGAATAACATCGATAGAATGAGGAGAAAAGGTTTAATATTCTCATTTAGTTAACTGAAGTTCTCAAAGTTATAAGAGGAGTGCATATAACAGTTTTCCATTTCACTAATTGAAAAATTTCTGTTATGAGCTGTGTTGAATTTTGATACTTAATTCCTGGAAAGCAAGTTTGAAATGACACAGTCTTGTTTCAGGCTTTGTATCATGCTCTTCCGATGAACTATGTAACCATTAGCAATCTGCGAAGCAAACTAGGAGGAGAGGCAAATCAAACTACTGTGAAGAAGCTAATAGATAAAATGACACAAGATGGCTTTGTTGAGGCTAGGAGCAATCGCAGGCTAGGTACTCACTGACAAACTGCACTTTCGGCTTTGCAAGGAGGAGAAAGATAGAAATAGCAGTTACCACCATTTGCTGGATTGCTTTTGTTATTGCAGGCAAGCGTGTGATCCACTCTGACTTGACTGAGAAAAAGCTGGTTGAGGTTAAGAAGGTCTTAGAGAAAGATGCCATGGTAATAGTCATGAGTTTATATGGATTCAATAGATTATGCACCGCAAAAGTTTAATTCATTTTTTAACTATGTTCATTGGTCAGGATGTGGACATGAACAAATCAGGTAATAACTCCAACTATTCAGAACTTGCCGTAGTGCTTACTCAATTTACTTTATGCTTGTAATCAAGATTAATATCATGAAAGCTAAGACAGCTTTGGTACTCGCAGAAAACAATCCTACAGATTTATCCACTTGCGGTGCTCTCCACTCTATTGGATCAGATCTCACTCGCACAAGAGGCAAATCGGATGCATTCCAGAATGGCTCTGCCTTGAGCGATCAGACTGTCTCAAAGAGAAGGGACCATGAAAACACACCATCAAGCAGAGCTGAGGTTATTCACTCGTAATTGTCATTAATCTGAAAAGTTGTTTACTGAAGATTCTGTAGGAATAATTAATAACATATGACGTTTTGCAGCCCATAGCTTCTACTGAGAGTTTTGTACCTGGAAATGAGAATGGAAAATCATATGAAAGGACCAACAAATATAATGAGTTTGAGACAGTTATCTGTAGCAGATCGAGTCAGGATAAGCGTAGAAGGAAAGCAAGCATGGTATGTATCAATTTTTCCAGAGGAACTTGGTTATATTTCGCAATCCTGAAAATCAATCCTGTCACATTTTTGCTGTCTACAGGTGGAAGAGCCTATTCTTCAGTATGTGAGGCGCCAAAAATCTCAAATTGCATGAAATGAACATCTGGATGCTCAATTAGTGACATTTCTTGGTAGTTTCCTTGGTGAAAGTCTTCTCGTAATCCGAGCAGTTATGTGTTGGTTATCGTTTGTTAGCTAGCAAATGTACCAATGCACATGACACAATAGTCAACAAAAACTAATATTTCGCTAATAGAAACTGAAATATATGTTATGCACCCAATTTAAGTTTGCATGACAGCATGAGTGCGAGAGATGGCATTTCGCTAATAGAAACTGAAATATATGTTATGCACCCAATTTAAGTTTGCATGACAGCATGAGTGCGAGAGATGGCAGAAAGCGAGGGAGATTCTGTTTGCATCCAATGACTTAAAGTAGATTATTTTAATCTGCGAAAGATGTGAAGAAGATTAATTGTCAGCCAACAGCTATCTTCACTATTGACCAGTCTTCTAGTATCTTTTACGTGTTTCTTTTTTCTTTTTGATACTTTTTGTTCGACGCTTCCAAATCTTTCACTCAGTTTGATCCATTGGCACTTTGAGGTCAGTAGCAGCGCCCACATAGTGTTCAGTTAGGTGAGGCCAAAACAGAAAAATTTCATATTGATCACGTCTATCAAAAGTATTCTTATTTCGCCAAACAGTGCTTCATCCATTCGATTGCAGACAATTCTGAAAAGGAGTGAAGAAAGATTGGAGATACAAAATCAGATGTTGGGAATAGAAGCTGAATTGTGCCCTACTCCGTCTCCCAATATCTTTCATAACCTAGGGTCTGCACTTCGAATATAGTTTTTGCATGGCAAAGTAATGATATACCGCCAATTATCCATTAGGAACGATTGTTCATATATACTCTGTATGAATCAAAAGCCGAGATCTGCAAATGCCAGAATATCCGAAACAAATTAGGAGACAAACTCACCAAACCAATATATGTTGGCAATACGCTTCCATATCTAATTTAGCAGACGAGTTCAGGATCAACTTCAAATCAAAAGTTTAACAAGATACCCTAGCCTAGTTAAGGAAAATGCAAAGGTCCCATAAATACTACAGAGATACATTTCATTCCACAAAGCTGAATCTCGAAAAATGTACATTGATAATAACTAAAATTCATGAAATTGCAACTTTAACAGTCTTAAGCTTAGGTGGTGGAGGAAGCTTCTCAACTACCACAGCCAACACCCCATTCTCACATTTAGCATTAATAGCTGAAACATTGCAGTTTTCAGGCAGCTTGAACTTCCTCATCAATTTCTGAGGTGGCCTCCTCTCCAACCTCACATACTTGCACCCATCTTCCTCACTCTCCTCACGCTTCCTCTTCCCATTGCTTCGTATCACCAGTATGTTTTCATCTTCCACAGTCACCTGTTACACATTTCAATCAGTAACAAGGTTCACTAACAAAATTAAATTTGGAGAGTAAAAATTATGCAAATTTTGAATAACTTATAGTACTAATAATTTAAGTGAAATACAATAACTTTCACAACTTTATTCTAAAAGGTAAATTAAACAAAAAAGGGAAGAGATTGACTCATGTTAGACAGGACAGAAGCAAACATCAAGCAACTTAAGTCATAAACCGTTTATTCATTTAAACGGGTTTAACCTGCGAAGTGCAGCAATAGGCACTTTTAAGTCCGTTATATAAAATATATTCACAATTTACAATGTATTTAAAGATTAACCAATTCACCCAAACTTCAGGACTAAGTATCCATGCTAATTTCTAATTTGAAATTCAGGACTAAGTGTCTCGAATTGCTGAACTACTAATTTAAAACTAAGAACTTCTGGACACAATTTTTGAATTTTAGGAGACGATGCGTTGAAGTTTGAACTTTGAGGTTTAAAGTCTAGGACGTCGTGGGCTGAAGTTTGAGCAAAATTGGCTAATCTTTATGAATATAGTTTAAACAACATGCCTGTGTCATTTCCACCAGCCCATTTGCCACCTCCTATGGAATTAAAAGCTAGAAATCTGTTAAAATCAAAATTGAAGATTGCGTCCGTAATACCAACCTGAATTTCAGACTTGGATAACCCAGGAACGTCCATGTAGAAAATGTACTCCTTTGGGGAATCGAGAATGTCCACTGGTATGCTACTCACACCCCTGTTCTCACTTGTCTCGTGTGAGTGGGACGGAAACACTACCCTTTCAATGGATTCTGGGAAGTGGAGAAGTTGGTTCACCGCATCCACGACTGCGCTCATTTTCACACAGAGATCTCTACAATACACATTAATCATAGAAAAAACACAAACAAAAAACAGTCAGTACTTAATTTAAACACCATATGATAACAACTCCAAAATATGATTAATCATGATTTAATGACGTGAAGGCGAAAAAAAGAACCCTAAAATTACATAGATTTACAGAGCAGTCTTACCAGGACTCACAATTCGCTGCGAATTTCAAGACTGTTGTAGGTCTTCAAAGAAGCACCAGGATTTTTGCCTTTAGAAGAAGAAGAATTATCCGACCAGTAGCTGAAAAAGGTAAGGCAAGTTCTAATTTAAACTAAGCGAATGCTGGGTCTCAGAAACTTCTAATATGTCCCTGTTTTTTCGATTCTCGACACGAAGGATCTAGAAGAGACGGGAACATCGGACATCTGTTACGTTTGGCGCATGGCCGTGATCTTCTATTTGTCGTCCACGTATAGTTCCTCCCAATTATTGGGAATTTTTGTTAGTCACATATTTTGTTGCTGCAGCCATTTTTGCCTTCAAATGTCAAAACGACTCTTTTATTGTTCTTTCTTTTTAATATTTCACCATTTTTTTTTCTTTTTCTTTTTTCGTTGGTGTGAGGTGGAGGAAATGTAAATCACTCCATATATGTGGCTTTAATCCCTCTGCCGTTATTATTACTTCTATTTTGTGCCAGAAATTATTTATATTTAATAATCAAAAAAGTATATAAAATTTATATAATTTTTGTATATAACATACATAATGTATATATATACNTACTATTTCGACTATTGAAGGTAAATAGTTTTTGGAGCGGGTTAGAAGTGATAATACCCCAATATATTTTAATTAACATCTTTTATAGAGTGACATCACGAAAAGCTAATATTTTAAAGGGAAAGAACTAGGTGCGCCATATTTTTGACAAGTTGCAGTAGTATAGCTAATTAAATTGAGGTGAAATTATTGGAGGGAAAAAATATCTTTTTTTGGCTCAATTATGACCGACCGCTTTATAATACTCTTTAGTCTTCTCTAGTAAACGGCCCAAATGAACATTGTAGTGACTAAGAAAATAGTAATTCAATCGGTAGATCAGTATTCACATCATTAATGTTATGCGTTTTGTACGGTAATGATTCTCATTGGTTGCTTTTGGAAAAATGTGAAGCATTCAATTTCTAGTGATCTGGTTGACAAAAAATTATAACTTTCCCTTAAAATTATTATATTTATGTAATAACGGGTCAAACCTAGTTAATGATAATATCTCTAGATGCGAATCTTGAAAACGTGTGTGAGGTGAGATAAAGGGTTGACAATAACAAGTATTAAACAGTCATAAAGTATAAGCCATAATGAAAGAGTGGCTGATAATAAATACTCCCTTCGTTTAATTTATGTGAACTCATTTGATTGGGCACGGAGTTTAAGAAAAGAGAGAAGACTTTTGAACTTGTGGTGTAAAATGAAGCACACTTATTTTGTCTGATTATAAATCATTAGTATTGCATAAAGGTAAATTGTTTCCAAATATGGAAAGGGGTAATTCTTTTTGGCACGGACTAAAAATAAAATAGATTCACATAAATTGAAACGGAGGGAATAACAATAAATGACATTTGAGTAAATAGGAGGAGTGATTCACCCAATAAATAATGAGCTAGGTGATTATTCCTTCTGACAATGATGAGTGATAGACAAATCTTAGAACATTCGAAATCTTCTCGGATCTGATGGAAACGTGTAGAATAATATGAACAAGATCCTTATCTTTTTTCCTATTTAATTATCTGGGACATACCCCCAATAAACCCTAATAGTACAAGTACAAAGAATATCCAATGAAATATTTCTTTAATATCATGCCCTAATAAACTAGCCGTTACTGTTCTTTTTGCAGTGCTCGACATCGACCATCTTTTGCATCTCGCCTACGGGCTTTGCCATCTCCTGGTCGACCTCGGCTGACTCTTTTCTCGATGTTAGCTAGTCCCAAGTATTGAGACATATTTGGACCTATACAATATCGTGTATGAGAAGAGAAGGGAGTAGACAGTTGCTATGTAATTGAATCTCATAATTCCCTATTAATTAAGTACCAAAAAAAAAATATCACCTCTATGATAGGGATTTAGAATACTCGAATAATGCAATTGCTTTAAGATAAATATGTGCATTGAACTTTTTCTGAAGGATCTTGAAAATTATCCACGACAAAAGCCATCCAAATTTTTTTCCAATATTACACCAATATGTAAACGTAGACTAAAATCCATATCAGCAAGGAATACCCCGTCAAAGAACGAAATTACAATATACAAAGCTCTTCTCCGATCCAGTGCAGATATAGCTGAATACAGAGAGATTGAATCATTTTGTGTAAAATACTAATGAGATTATGTAACTTCTCATCGTACATCAAGCTGCCGTTATTCTGGTCCTTTGATTTTTCGAGTAATTCGCTTGCTTCCACCAGTACAAGTATCGGCTTTCAACATACGTTCTTCAAAAGCTTTAGTCTCGTAAGGAATCCTGAGAATACCTTGGTTGCAAAATCCATATTCCTCAGCTGATCGAGACAGCAGCTCCAAAAATTCTGCATCGTATAGTGCAGTCGTATGTACCATAAATCGCTTTGATTCATTAACATTCTCTCCAACAGCAACAGGTACATAACCTTTTGGTGTCATAACTGCAGCTCCTCCGCCTCCTAATTTTAGCAGTTTTCCGACCATTCCGATGCATATTAGCTTACTCAATTTGCTTCCTTTAACTCCCATTCGACAACTGCCGGCTGAAATCTTTTTGGAGATGAAAAAACACACAGTTTTTCTTGAGTTGTTCTAATTTTAAGGTACTTCGTACCAGGCCGTGCAAGGGTCAGCACCTTGTGCTCTTCATTATATTAGGTAAACGATTAATGACGTTTTAGCTGCAGGGATAACGACATTAATGACTTTATTAAAAGAAATTTCCTCGGATAAATTATCACATTATTTTAGTAGCAATTAGATAGAATCAAACGGAAATACCGTAAACACAAAGCTGATGTATTAGTCCAAGCCTCGTGTACCCTGCTACACTTGGCCTTGTTTAGATACCAATTGACAAACACTTACTTTAATTCTGTATGGTACAAATTTATTTGTATCGGATTTTTATATCATGCATGACATATATTTGTGTATAATACATTTCTTTCATTA